TGTTTTGGGTTCAGAGCAGCAAAAGACGTGGTTGCGTGCGGACGCTGCCCTGCACCACTTCCTCTTCAGAAGCCCAGAGACATCGCAGCCAGCTGTATTGATGCCTCTCTCACATGTGAGCAAACAGACACACACACACACACACACACACACACACACACAAACAGACATTTTGGGGGTAGTCTACTTCAGCAAAACCAAACAAACAGTGGAAAGTTCTAGCCAGCCCTGTCACAGAGAAATTAAAGTGATAAAGATCCCTTAAATATAGAATAAAATAAAAACTGTTTCAACAAGCAGCAGCCTCAACTGAGAAAATGCTCCTGTTAATATTACATTAAGGCTGGAAGATGGGGAGAAACTCCAGAATATTTCTGAATATAAAGTAACAGAAAGCTGATACAGTGTGGGTGCATGCAAGTCGCCTCAGGCAGAATGGGTGGATCTGGTAGCTGTCTGCAGAGATCCAGATAAGGATGCCAAATGACAGTGCTGTCCTTGGTGGCGTGACACGAGGGGCAAAATAAACCAGCTGTTATGGGAGTGCCCAGCAAGGCCCAAATCTGAGCTTGGCTGTTACAGCTGAGTTATGGCCACAGCAGCTCTGCAATGGATACAAATAGACACTGTCTGTCTCTGTTCAGCTGGAAGACTCGCTCTCACACACTTATGGTTTAATGCCCAGAAGTTTCACGCCTGCACCATACACATGCAAACATACACCCAAAAAAAAGAAGATAATTAAGAAAATGTGTACAAATGTGTCCACGTGTCCAGGCCATGAGATGCTAAAATTAACTTCATCAGCTTGCCATAGATGTCACAAACAAGGATGCGATTTTTCAGAATGTTCAGATGATTCCTGCATCTGCTCGCAATAATCATGAATTAAGTGGCAGAAAATCTGACTACATGCTTCTGCTAGCAACTGTAGTGATGATAATAATACTCAGGATATCAGGGACAAACAGGACCTCATCAGGAAATTGTTGTTTCATGCTATATTCTACCAGCATGTTGCTTGCAGACTGTAAAACTGTATCAACATCTTCTGTTACAGGAAGAAGGGAAAGGACTACTAGACGTGACTTGTTTCTTTGCATATTCTTTTATGACAAGCTCACACCTGAACATGTTTTCCCACTTAAGGAGCATTTTCTGCCATTTTGACAGTAATAAGCGTGGCAGCTGTGCCTGACATGCAACCTATCAACACATTTTTTTTTACATCTGTCTTACTTCCAGCAATTATACCATTATGAACTCAATTATCATTATTATCCTAAACTTGACAACCATCAATGATAGTTAGAGCAGCAGAGACAACCATAAGCCTTAAGAGTACCAGACATTGCATTATAAAAATATCAGTCACAATACATTCATTTCACTGGATACAAGGATTAGTGCTCTACAATGAACACTAGTCCGTGTCCTCCATGTGGATAGGAAATATAAATGTTGGTTATGACCGAAATTGTTTCCATTCAAGGAAAAAAAGGCCTAAAACACAAAATAGGAGACACTGTAATCAGATCTCATCTAAGGAGTGTTGCAAGTATCAAATTTTAAATGATAGCGTTTGTGTAGTAGCTCGTTATGGCTTCTATGCTTGTCAAACGTGACATTCTCCACAGCAACCCTCTGATGAGCAGATAAGATCAGGAAGAATGCATGAGAGAACAGAGAGGTGAAGAAAAACAAAAGAAAAAGACGAGTAGTAGGAAAGCTAGTGCAGTGCCTTGTGGAATTCAAATGCTGTGTGAAGAAAGAGTCCAATGCCACAAAATGGTCAAGTCAAAAAAACAGAGAGACGGAGAAGATGTATTCTGTTGCTCATAGCTTTTGCAGAATTGCAGTTTTGTTTGTGTTTTTTCTTGAATTAAGGGACAACATTTGCCTCTGTAGTTGAAGAGTGTTTTATTACCCTTTAAATATGTTGAACTAAAACTATGAATTGATAGTGTGTAAGGTTTTCATATTTGCAATGATTCTGTTAGTCTGTGCACTAAGCTTTTAGATTTTTAAAAAGGGCAGGGAGTGAAAAAGAAAAGCCAACACATTAGAGATGGAGGTGAGTTACGGAGGCCAGTGGAGATGTGCAGGGACAGCCGAGAGAAAAGAATATCCATTAAGCAAAAACACTGCCCACAGTTACAAACAACACCCATTAACACACATCTGTGAGAATAAACCAACATCAAAAATAGCTATTACCTCAGGTAGATCTAGAGGTTTTTTAAAAGACCAAACTCTGAAGATACTGCATTACAAGTACTACAAGTGAAAATACATCCTGTAATACGGTGTATGAAGCATTAAAGGTGTCCTTTAAATGAGCAGTACGCTAAATGGAAGCACAAAAACAGCCCCTGCAGAACACACACATTGAATTCATTCTTTTCTGTGAAGTTAATGCAATTACTTTTGTTTCATGAACACTGAAAAATGTTTTTGAAAAAAATAATTGTGGCATGTGCAAAAATATGAGCATCCTTGCATTGCACTTTTACTGATACTGTATTTATTCCTAATATTGTATTTATTCTTTTTCATTTTTCGTCTCTTGTATATATTGTACACATTTTTATTGTTATTGTTATTATTATTATATATAGGTTGGTAGCACTGTTGCCTCGCAGAAGGTCGCCAGTTTTGCGTCCCGGTGGGGGCACTGGGATCTTTCTGCGTGGAATTTGCATGTTCTCCTCATGCAGCGTGGATTCTCTCCGGGTTCTCCGGCTTCCTCCAACACAGTCCAAAAACATGTTGAGGTTAATTGGTGATTCTAAATTGGCTGTAGGTGTGACTGTGAGTGTGCTTGGTTGTCTGTCTCTAAGTGTAGCTCTGTGATAGACTGGTGACCTGTCCAGGGTGTCCCCTGCCTTCGCCCTAAGTTGGCTGGGATAGACTCCAGCCCCCCAGCGACCCTGGTGAGGATTAAGCGGTGTATAGATAATGGATGGATGAATGTTTAGTACTGCTGTGTTCTTCTGTTCTTTTTTAAAATTTTGCTGCTGTAACAATGTAAATTCCCCTGGCGTGGGAAGAAATAAAGGATTATTATCTTATCTTATCTTGTCTTATCTTATCTTATCTTATCTTATCTTATACTTGTTAACTCAGAGAACATCATGACTTTGCCTTAATTGAGTCTGATTTGCAAAGTATCAAGAATTCAAGAATTGCCATTAGGAGTTATCAGCTGATGACAATTCCAGTACACGATAAATTCTTTGACTCTTGGAACACCCACCAACCGTGGGCTCCTTTAAGCAACTGACGAATGTGAAAATGAAGCTCATATGATGCCTACACAGCAGTGGGGCAGGGAAGAGTGTTGGTAGTTATGTGGAACTGTAGAAGTCAAGACAAGATCAGTAAGATCAAGAAAATGTAGAGATAACTATAATTACCAGCTCACAGTTTGATGCCTCCAACCAGACAAGTCACCGTTTACATCCATGTCTGCCATGACTCATATAATATATGTAGTTAAGACTTTGAAGTGAATTCATTGAGTGTCTAATCCCTTGTGTGTCTTTACAAGTTTGGCCAGTAAAGCTGATTCTGAATACAAGTCATGCAGTCAGTAAACAGTTAATTCGTAAACAAATAGCAAAACTGAAAAGATTTCTACAACAAGATAATAAGCTGAAGCAAACCTCACAATTCACCATGAACTTCTAAAAGCATCCTAAAGCATTTGGGCCAGGCCCCACAGTCCCCTGACTTGAACATCAGCGAAAGCTTGTATTAAACATGGTAAGTGTGCAACAATATCTCATTTTCTATCTTAGCATTCTTTAAAATTTGAGATAGAAGTAGCAGTGCATTTACATTTATAGAAAATGCTCTTGTCTGTCTGATGCCAGTGTTGTATTTAGTTCTTTGCAAATCAAAAATCTACAAAACATGTAATTTGCCAAAAACGTCTGCATAGAACTGTATACCACAAGTACATCCACAAGTCTAAATGCAATACAAAGGATTAGGAATGCCGCATGCCATCATGCAGCTGCACAACAAACGGCATCTCAAAGCTGACAGTGCACATGAGCTGCCACCTCAGGCATGAGAGGGTGGCAGATGTTCACTACACACTGACTCATGACCAGGAACAAACACGTATACAAAGTAGCACTCAAGCTTTAAATCCCATAATCTACGGAAACCTTCTACATTTAGTCCATATAGGACTCGGTCGAACCTGCCAGCCCAGTGTGTAAACACTTAATCTGGATTCAATGATCTCATGCATGACTCGGTCCCAGAGGAAAACACACAGGGCTCAAGTCAAACAATAGTGTTGAAATGTCTGTGACAAATATTCCTGTATTGCTTCTATGCGAACACTTGTATTATCCGTTTAAACTTGTAAGAACACGGCGTGGTACTACTGGTGTCTTGAAAAGGCAGGAGTTGTAGATAAATAACAGAGGGTACACTGTTTGTTGTAGCAGTCGTAGCCACTGTAGCAGTCAACATGCCCCGCTACAGCATGCTCACACAAAAAGCAAAGAAAGTCTAATTGCACTGCGGTTCACATCATTGAACTAATCTGAACAACCAGGTCAATGGGAGGAAGGAAGACCATCAACATACACTCACAGTTCACACAGCAAACAACAACAGTGCATTCTCAGTCCAATGAGGGCATGTGGTGACGAGCCATCTGTACCATAGCATGTTCTACAACCTATTGAGGGGGATTTCATTGACATTTCTCCCAAGACTAAAGGGATAATCCCCTTTCTAACTCTCTGTACCTGATATGGCCTTGGCCCTCGAGAGTCTCTTCAACCCTCAAGAGAGTTCAACAAATCAGCTTCATTTAGAGAGCAGCTAGAGGGGCTCTCTGCCCAGACAAAAGGGCCTTTAGGTACTGTGACCAGTAGGGAAATCATGGATCAGAGAATGGAGGTCAGCGCAGGATGATGGATGGGAGGGAGATTGAGGAGGGGGTTGCAGGGAAGAGCAGGGAGGAAACTTTCTAAGACTTACTGAGATTTGTCCGTCACCACATTCAGGGGAATGTCCTCGGTCATGTAGTCGAGCTCATCGGTTAAGCTGTTGGCGCGGGAGATGTCGAGAGACGTGCTGTTATCAACGTTTTTCTTTACTGTAAAGAACAAAGATACAGGGTCAATAATTCAAGTGGACACCTAATGAGCTGGTAAACTATAAACAAGTTTAAATCTGCTAAATTCACAAAGAGGAAGTGTCTTTAAGGGAACTGACTGGAAAGCTGTTTTAGAAATGTGATAGTTGTGATTTGTAGTTCTGAAAGCTACCAAATACAAAATAACTCCTACAGACGGTCATGAGTGGCTTTCAAACAACATCATTTGGCATCTGTGAAAAATACTATAGATCAGATTGGTCTGAGAGTTACTTATGTGAAATTGGTTAAGATGTCAAATATAATAGGATATTTGAAAACAATACTGTGTGTCAGTGTAATATGAGCTGAGAAATATATATACAGATTTTTAAAAAAAAACAGACAAAGAAACACAAAGATACCTGGAGAGCCAGGGGAGCTCAGAGTGAAAGATGACCAAGAATGTTGAGGAGGGCCTGATGTCGGGAAAAAATAATTAAAATAGAAAAAAAAAAGAAAGAAAGGAGGGGAAGGAAAAAGGAAGATAAGAAAACAGCTTAAATAAACAAAGCTTATATCAACAGATTTCAACAGAGTTTAACCACTTGGTGTACAAAACACTTTAAAAAGGATGTAAAGTTATATACATCTGAAGAAATTATGTAATTTAGAGTGTTAACAGGGTGGAATGAAGAAATGAAACAAAGCAATTTGCACAAAATAATTATCACAAGTCATTTTTTAAACAATTAATGTGTATGGGAAAGAACATAAGCGGAAGCAGAAATTGCAGTGCTGAATTTCAATAGTCCAGCTGGCTGACTTCTGGCGCTGCTAAAAACAACAGCAAAGAACAACATGTGTAGTGGGGTCTTGACCTGCAGTCAGACTGTCAGCAGAGTTTGACATGTTTCTCCTCCAATCCACCAAGCCTCTTTGTGATAAAGAATGGAGAGGAAAATCTGTGTTTGAGAACAGAATGACCATTCCAATTCAAGCAGAAGCCATTCAGTCTCTCTTGTATTCCAACATCGAGTTTGTTTGACATTGTCCGATGGGGAAGCAGACGCAGCGGTAGAGACGGACAGAAAAGGGAAGGAGAAAAGGACTGAAAGTCAGAAAAAGAGAGGGAAAGAGAGTATTTAAAGCCACCTTTAGCCCCGACTTCAACTCACTGAAGGATATGTGAACTGGTTCATTGTGTACACAAACAGGACAAGAGTTTCTTAACAGTATGTTGTTTATCTGGCCCATCAGTGCAAACATTTCTGGTTGAGAGAGTTTGAGCCAAGCACAGGAGAGAGAGAAGGGAGGAATTCAAAGTGCAGAGAAAAAAGATATCAAGATAGAAATAGAGAGAAAGAAGAAGAAGAAGAGAGAGAGAGGGCGCTCCATTGAGAGATCCTCTCAGACGGGGAGGAGGGCAGGGCCAGACAGATAAGTGGAGCGATAAGCCGGACACTGACTAAATCAAACAATGACCAGTTTATTTCTAACCACTGGAGCTCCACAATGGCAGCTTATCAGCGCCACACCTCCCCCTCCCTCTCCAACCTCTCTTTAGAGCTCCAGTCTGGGTCCCCATGGTCCCCAAGGCCCCTGTCCATTCCGAGCCAGGCCAGCACCCATGGTGTTGGCAGGGCACCCGGTAAAGAAAACAGGCCAGGTCAACCCAGGACCAGCGTCTGAGTCTCTCTCTCTCACTCGCTCTCTGCTTGGCTCTGGTTTGGTCCGGTTGAGGACAAAGGCCCAGCCAGCCAGTGAGTCTAATTAAAATACTGTCTGGGGCCACATTAAATAGGCAGGCTAGCTAATGATTAACACAGGGGAGATTTTAATAGAGGAAAAAGAAGTTCTTAAACAGTAGAAGCTGCTACTGGTTAGAAAGTGCAGTCATCACATATACACTGTTGTGACAAAGAGCAACGGCTATCTGTAGAAGGCGTAACTGTTTTTCTCTTGTCTCTGGGGATTTTGGTATTTTAAAAGTTAATGCCTTGGCCTAAAAGATTATGACATGGCAACTTGAGATAAGGAAGGGATCTGCCATGAGACCAGATTGCCTAAAGCACTTTGTTGACATTATCCCTCTGACAAAATGGCATGAGCCAATCCCTGAAATCCCACGCAGTGCACATCAGTTGTGATGTGTGGTGGACTGACGCAGAAGATCTCACCTGTTTGCCGGAACATCCTACTGATTCCTGCAAAGAGAAGTGGAAACAGTGTTAATATGGGCATGCAGCACTGCTAGATCAAAAATAAAATACTTGATCTGAAAAGGCAGAACTAAACCGTTGTCAGTTCCTGGTTTAAAAAATAAAAGCTTTTTTTTTTTTCTTTTTTGCACTGTGACTTTCTTCTTTAATGGAATGTGACTGATTTGATGTTAAATTTCAGGCTACATGGAGTTGCAAATGTCTTTACTAATAATTGTGAAGCAGCACTAATGGCCAATATTACCCTCTAGACTGCATTAATGCACCTCAAGAGAAAGAGACACCCTATAAACATGTACAATCATCCACCACAGCATTACATGGGACAGAAGTACCAACTCATTAGTATTTGTTTTCTTGCAACAATAAACCACCATAGCAAAATCAAAGCAACCACTTTCTGTGAGTGTAAGTGTTCTATGTTAAACATACTAAAAACATATTGAAAAAGTTATAGCACAATTCTTACAAAATTGTACTTATCAGAATCAAAAACAAGGAGCATATATTAGCAACCTTTCTTATTCACATATACTAAACAACAGTTAAAACATTTTTCACATCTCTTACTTATCTAAATGAGGACATCTAGCAGCCTGAAGCCAAGTTGAAACAGGGGCATTAAATAAAGGAGCAGCCCTGGTGTAGACAGTTGACATTACAGATTTGCAGATGCCTGTTTTATGGATGGATCTGAAGCAGAGATCATACAGTCCCATGCTGTTCCACTGCAGACATTATCATTAGTGACAGCAGGCTGCAGACCTCGGTTTCTTTACATGGTTTTTTGGCATCCATAATTTGTCCAATTCTTTTTTTCCACTCTACATTCTCAGCATGTGTATCTATTTGTGTGTATTCTTTGATAACGCATTATACGCAAAACGTTTGAATGGTTATTGGCTTGTAATGTTGCTTGTTTGTGTGTAAATACGTGAATTAATACTGGATAAAATGTGCTTCTGAACTGATTTGACTTTAATTTGATGGCTTTTTCCACATGCATTTAGACATATGTTCTCTTTCAAGATCCAAGATCCACCCAATTAAGCCAAAATCTAAGAGACTTTTCCCCTTATAAGTGGTTATCCTTCTAGTGATGGTCTCCCTTTATGTTGAGTTTAAGTCTCCCTTTATGATAGCACGCTTTGACAGGAAAAACTCATAAAGTGAGTTTATTAACCTGGAGTCTGGGTCAGTTCATTTGGTGGGGTTGGCTTTTAACACAGGAAGCTAAACCACCAACCATTTAACCAACCATCAATCATACATGGATTTTGTGTGTATAGACGCACATTCAGAAACACCGTTTAAAATCAGAGTGTTTATTGTTATGTACGAGCGCTGGCAGGAACTGGAAACCACTACAGCTCACATAGGTAATTACGTGCACACGGAATTATGTGAAATTAACACCATCACTTCAGCTGTATTTACCAGAGCAAATTTAAAAATATATATACATCTTGGCTTTGGTGTGACTGCAGCATTAGTAAACTGCAACTGGCATTACAAGAAATTCCCACTTGTAACTTTGACAAGCTGGTATTTTAAAGTTGTTGTTTTTTTCCATTTAAGGCCGGTGTGAGTGTCTGTGGCCATCAAGGGGGACAAGTGAAGCAGTAAAGCGCTTGTAACCATGACCTCTAATCACCACTGAGACTGTAATGGCTTCCATGTGGCTTACTGGAGGCACCTGGCAGCCATCTTGGCTCTAAGGGGATCAGGATAGGGTCTCTGTTTACTGTGTGAAAATGAGACAGCAGTACATAACAACTCCTCCCACAACGCGTAATGTTCTCCACTGTTTGTATGAGCTGAGAGGACCAAATTATTATCGGTAGCAAGAGAATAATACTCTAAGCCACGTTCAAATAGGCCGTCTGCTCTGTAATTACTGTACCTCAAGTTATACCAACATTATTATGATAATGATGGAATTTTAAACACGATCGCTACCTTTTGTCACACATCAGCTCCACAAAGGTTTTTTAAAAAATTAGATTACAGCGTTAATTATGATTCAGTGTACACTCAACTGTACATAGAACTAATGTGGCTCAAGTATGAATTCCTTTGAATGGACCAATGTCTTTTCCCATGTACTCCTTTCAGACCTACATAAATATGCCATGTTTTAACCACCTTTAAAGTGAAGAGAATAGTAATACATGATATTAAAATTTCTGGCCAATACCGATATCCGATTTTAAGATTTCTGATATTGCCGATAACCAATATTACCAATGTCGATATTCAATTTTTGTTCACACCGAAAAATGAGTGTAAGTAAGTGCTGTGAGAACGTGAAAACTATTCAAAAGAAGCCCATACCAAATTAGACCACATAGTCTTCTTTATTACGTAACAAAAGTAAACCATCCCATCCATCCATTATCTATACACCTCACTAGGGTCGCGGGGGGGCTGGAGCCTATCACAGCTGACTCAAATCAAAGGCAGGGGACACCCTGGACAGGTCACCAGTCTATCACAGGGCTGCACTTGCAGAGAGACAACCAAGCACACTCACATTCACACCTACGGACAATTTAGAATCACCAATTAACCTCAACATGTTATTGGACCTTGTGGGAGGAAGCCGGAGAACCCGGAGAGAACCCACGCTGCACGGAGAGAACATGCAAACTCCACGCAGAAAGATTCCGGTGCCCCCACCGGGATGCAAACCAGCGAGCTTCTTGCTACAAGGCAACAGTGCTAACCAACTGAAGCCCCAAAAGTAAAACATATTTAAACATATTTAAACATATTTAACATTCAAGTCCAGGACCATTTAAGTAAAAACATCTGTGAAATAGCAGCAATATCAAATGTAGAGACGAAGGTGTGAATGTTAGACAATCATTGGTTTTTCACATCGGTTAAATTTGTTCATCGGACCGATACCGATATATCAGAAAAAACACTGATATCGGCCGATTCCGATGTGGTCATGCATCCCTAGAAGAGAACGACATGAATCGTCACATATAAATGCAATGTTCTGTTGGGAAACCTTGGGTCCTGGCATTAATGTGGATTCATCAAGTTCCACCCACCTAAACAAAGCTGGCGGACCTACTCAGGCCCGGTTTGGTGGCTTTCTACCAGCAAAGTTAACTCAAACATCAATTACATTAATCCACGAGAAACAGGAAAAGATCCACCAGACGTGGGCTTGCATTGTCCAATCTCCCCTTCAAACACAGACAGAGAACGGCTTAAATCTCATAACCCATGAAAATTGTAGCTTTAATTGAAGATGTCTTTTTAATATGACATACACAAAAAGGGAGGGAAAAATAAGATCAGATTGAATGGTCATAAGTATTTAAGGCTTTCAAGAGATTTAAGTTTTGGCATAATATTCTAGTTTGGATTAAACTTCCTTTCCAAAAACTGAACAGTATGAATTGACACAATCATTGCTGCATCTCCAACCCAGGCCTCCCGGGGGCAGGATAATGCACTGTGCCATACCGCAAAAACTTGCCAGGAACAGCATGAGGAATACGACAAAGAGCCCAAGGCTTTCAAACTCCACAAATCCAAATGTGTTCGAGCATCCACAGAATCCATTGCTAATATCCCAGTGCTGGACACAACAGGACATCATCATGTTCATGCCACAATTAATCAGAGCTGTTTTGATAGCACAAGAGGTACCTGCACAATATTAGGCAGATGGTTTGAATATTGTGGCTAATAGGTGTGTGTGCTGTTTTTGTAATTTCTAGTTTTTATGGTGACTCTACTAGCCTACATGTGTAACACGGAGCCCACGCTTAGATTCATTTAGCTTATTTTATAGTATTTATTGTCCTTGACATTAAAAATATTGATGACAATCTTCTGACAACACAAAGTACAAGCTGACAGCTACTATTTCTGAAACAAGTGCCATGAAAAAAAAATGTCATTCATCATGGAGTTGTTTTTCTCACTTAAATACCCTGAGCACAAAAACACATCAAACTTTTACTGAGATAATGGATTTCCAAGGCCTTCGGGCTACATGACATCATTTTCATGGCCCTCAACACACATTATTTCATCAAACAAAATTATATGAAGAGCAACTCAAAAAAGTTTCATTACTGCAGTTATTCACTTCGTCAGATGTCCTCTACATGACACGGCCTTTATTGCCAACTGGGTTTGAACTGTATTAAAACAGCAAAGATAGTTTCGCGCTGATGTTAAATGCAATTCAAAAACACCCTGTTCCAAAACACCTTCACAGAACATGGCATTCTGAGGTGTCAAGTTTTAAATAAAAATTCTCCTGTCAAGAGTTCCAAAATGAAGTCAGCTTGATCAGGCAGTAATAAAACAGGGCTCGGCACTTTCATGTGTAATCTTGGCTGGTTGACTAGTCTGGGAGTGATTTGTTGAAAGAGAGGCAGTTTATAGAGGTTAGTTGGCTTTGTTTGAAAAACATGTGTCAGAGTGTGTTGGGCTCACACTGGGTATGATAGAAAAGTAGTGACTGACAAAAACCTTTGATATCTACTTGATACGAGTGTGTAACTGTCACTGCGCGGTGCAGTTACACGAGACAGGCAGCCTCTCCGCCGTGTTACCTTCAACAGTCGCCCGAGGCTCTTCGAGGAAAAATGAGACATCTTTCTTCTCCACAGAGTCATCGATGTGATCGTATGTTATCTGAGGGATGGATACGGCTCTCTCCGAGGACACGCCCATAGCACCGTTTCCTCTGGGCTTCAGCCTTCTCTTGGTCCCCTTTTTCTGAAAGGCAGAAGAAAAGTCAAGCCAGTTAATAAACAAGAAATGTGTCCACACTGTCTTGATGTAAAACTGTACTTATAATTAACAGTGTTGTTAAAAGAGTCTTGAATTATTGAAAATAATCAATAGAATTAACAATTATTTCTGAAATACAGCAACAGAAAAAACTGAAGAAAACAAAGTGGGGCAAACAGTCCTTGCATAATGGTGACACTGTCAAAAGGGGAGCATTAGTGCTTTCACTTTCTCTCCTTACTGTTTAACAACATCTACATCACTGCACACACTGCACTAAATCAGTCTTTGAATCTCTTGATCCATCACAACCTCACTTGTGGACAAAACCAGGAGGTACGGTTGGACCACTGACTAATTTTTTTACATGAAATTCCAATTTGAAACAATGCAATTAGCAAATCACAAAGGCTGCGGTTTAGGATATACGAGGCGAGACTAATGCTATTATTGGATGTTATTTAATTGAAGGAGACTGACACTTTTGGGGTTATTAATGCTTGCCTATTGAACACTGTATATTTTGTGGTTCAGATATGCATGCTGTGGGTCAACTGACTTCAACCTAGTCTTGTTATTTAACGGTCAGATCTCATGTATTTTGCAGCACACTGGGTGCAAACTGCCATGCCAGTGGTTTTACAAATTCATGCCGTCCTCCTCGTGTGGCACTTGTACTTTTTGACAGTTTCTCATGTAGTAATGCTCCATCACATTTTTAATCTATTAGACAGTGAAACTTGACTTACTAAAAAATCACATCATATAATCAAATCACAATCTTATTATATTATTATCTTATTATCAGACAAATTATAACTAGATATTTTCCCTGAATAGCTCAGTCCTACCAAGAGGTTTATGAACTACCAAACTTGGGGCAATCAACCATTTTTTTTATTTTTGACCACAGACTCAGAAGTCACATCACATTCGGCTGTAAACCCCACGTTGTTGTGTGATGAACCAAACAGAACTAAGAGCAGAGGTGCGGTTTAGAAGCCACAAAACTGCTCACTTTGGTCGAGGCTGACTCACTTTCCCGTGCTACCTTCACCATAGTGGCTTCAAATATGACTTTCTCTGTTGTCTAAACTACTGCTTGCCACACCGGCATCAAACAAACAAACAAAAAAAAACTGCCAGAGATTTAATCTCAACAACTGCAGTCACATAAAAAAAAAGTTTGTTTCATTGTCTGCGGAGCCAGAGTTATGCACAGACGTTGGCAGTCAGCACTATTCTATCTTTACCAAGTACGCAGGTGACACTGCACACGCCAGTAGCCGCTTGTGTAGCTGCAAACTGTAACTGTGCGACTGTAAATACGTCACCTCACCTTGCAGGTAGAGTGACAACATGGTGGTGGCCCTGGCGTACATAACTTCTTTCTCACAAGTTTGGCTCAAGCACAGTTTTATTTATTTACAAAGTGACCTAGATTTTAACAAATATATATGAAAATAAAATTATTTGTATAGAAGCTTTGTGGCAAGTGGTTTTTGTGACCTAAAAAGCTCTCTTCGTCTCTCTTCATAGGGGGTTACAATTGATTTCACTAAAAATCAATCAAACTCCAGTGAACAATCATAGCTTATTATAAATTTAAATCGTAACAATAGCATTTAGTATCATTATTTTGCATCTTTGCACAATGAATCAACCTATCCAGCCATTTCAGCAAACTGTTAAAAAGCAATGCGATGCCAAAAACACTGAAATACCAAAACGCATTATTTTTATTTAGTACCTTTGTATTTCACACTGTTGTTATACATCTTGCCCAATTCTTTGCTTGGGTGCTGGTGACATAAGCGGTAGCTGTTTAATCTCAGTGAGCTCATAGCTGTGTGAGTCAGTGAGTTTCTGAGAACCTAAACAGTGCATCCAGTCCAATGCTTAGACCAACTGACCCACACCAACGTCATGGATGTGGCCTTTATAGAAACTCAATTATTTGGACTCAGTGGATCAGACTTTGGCATTTGACAAGTGGCCAGCAGTTCAACTCAAATACCCAATGTTTGAATGAGTCATTAGGAGAGAGGGGGAGAGGGGGAGAGGGAGAGAGGGAGAGAGGGAGGCAGTGGTGGTTGTGGTAGGACTAAAAGAGAGAAAGAATATGGAAGGATGAGCAGAAACAGTATCATATACTGAGCTTAGGAAATAGGAACATAAAAAGCAGACATTGATGGTGTTAAATATACAGAGGAGATGGAGAGCTAAGAATAAGAAAGAAGACGGGGGAAAATATAGAAAAAAATAGAGAGGAGACAGGAAGAGCAAAGAAGAAAAAGAAAAGAGTGAAATAAAGTCTGAGACGAAACAGGAGAGGAATCTTGAAAGACAGACGGGGGAGAGGGAGGAAAGACAGAGGAGAAAGTCACATGCTGAAACAGAAAAGAGCGGAAGCAGCCTTCATTCTCCCAAATACATGTGGGTTCAATGCTACACAAAGATTTTTTTGTTGTTGTTCTACTAGACAAAGGTTTACTCCCATGAGAAAGGCGGTGGTGACATCATCTCAACTGACTGAGTCTTTGTCCGGCAGAGACAAAGGCCTCGAGTCATCCTGGTGGAGTCAGGCCTCGGAGGGAGGAGGGGCTGTTGTGTGTGTGTGTGTGTGTGTGTGTGTGTGTGTGTATTTGTGTTTTGTGTGCATTGTGTCCTTCCGCGTGTGTGTGTATGTTTGTGGGAACTTAACTTGCCCTTTTATTCTGAATGGCCCAGACGCAATATAGCTAATATTGTTGCGAAAGGTGAACTGCACAAGGAGACAATACGGCGTGGGCCACACGTATGCAAATGTGTCCTGAAGTGTCCCAGTCCAACGGCTTTTCCCAACAAAACGCTTAATAAGGAGAGTTCTTGACGTTCAACACCTCAAGTTCAAGCATTGATTTCAAATTGCGGTTGTTTTTCCATTTATGTAAAATACTGAAAATGTTGTTGATATTTTTAAAATGAAATATGCAACGAGAAATTAGCATATGACATAAATATAACCACTAAATGCAAAAAAAAAAAGTTTTTTTCGGGGTGAGGTTTTAATCTAGATTGAATAGATCAAAGGAAAAAGAAACTAAACAGCGGATAAGAAAGAGAGAGACCATAAAACGAAGTTATTCATTGCAGGACATCCCGAGGCCGGTGCCTTAACCCGCACAGACATACTTCATATTTTGCTGAGGAAACATTTAATGTGCCCTTTGAGAAAAGTAAATCTATGACAACTTCAAAACTCTACAAAGCGATTTTATACTCTTGGCTCTAAAATTCAAGACAAACTAGATAATTACCGATATGTTGAGTTTCCTGATGGTGGGACTGCCGTTGCCAGATTGCGCTGCGGCGACGGCCTCTGGAGTTAGGACATACATTTTCCATGTAACAGCACAGCCGTTTGGTTTTTCTGCTGCATAGCACCTCCAGAGTGTCTGAGAAACAGAGGTTATATCAAACAGCATAAACATTAGCAGTTGGAAAAATTCTGTTACCTGAAATATCATTTTAAATCCCCCAATAAGGATTTAAAACCCTCCATAGGTCCATGCCAGTGCCGTGTCAGAAATCACATCTTTCTTTATAGTGTAATTATGAATTTTTTATCCATACTGGGGTTTTTTTTTAATTTTTTTTTACAGCATTAAAGACAAAGAAAAAACTTTTAAAACTTATAAAATTTACATTCATATGTTAGTGTTCTGCACACATTTAGGTTGTCTTTATGTCTGAACAGTCTAAGACCAAACTGAGGTATCAGGGCTGCACCGATACTAATAAACTACTCAGACACAAGCCCCCCTGATTCCACTTTATACCAACATAAGGTTAACCCAAGCATCTCCATTTCCCCAAATGTTTAACTTCTTCTGACAAAAGGCGGCATAAAGTGCTACCAGTGCATTCCGATGCGCCACAGGGGACATTCGTCTACTGTTAAATCATTTACTGCGTCCCACCTGCCTTTTTATGTGTTTTAATCCATGTGCATGCTTTGACATATTATTATCCTATTATTCATGGAGCCTTCGAATTTTATTTGTTACATAGCATATAAAAAAAATGGATTAAATTCAAAATTGTAAAAGAAGCCCAACCAGAATCTGCCTGTCTATTCCTTTACATGTTTAAAAACACAGTTTTAACCCCATTAATGGTGAAAAAAAAAGTACCTGGATGAGCGAAGCTGCAGCAGGGATTTGTCTGTTAAAGTGTTTCTGTCTCTGCTTCTGTTGAACTTTTAGGGCAAACCCTGAGCCCAGGATACCCTGATTGAGAAGGAACATATTAACTGTTAGTGTCGATATCTGAACACACTAGTGATCCCAGTAGGTGATAAAGGCAAAGACAGTGCATCTTAGAAAGAAATTTCTAAATGAATACTGCACAGCAGGAGCCAAACGTATTGTGACAAGTTATAAAAAAAATAAAATAAAATTAAGTATTTCCTTTCTGCTCATGAACTTCATATGATTTAGATTAAAACTGTACTTACAGCAGGTAGAGCGAAGAAGGAGATGGCAAAGACACTGAAGCAGGAAGCGATGGCCTTGCCTATCCACGTTTGAGGAATTTTGTCTCCATAGCCGATTGTGGTGACTGTCACCTAGAGACAAAGATTAGATGAAGCTCCTCTCACATCAAATAAAATGATCATGAGCACAGTATAGACATGCATCCAAATCCTGCTTGGCCTTCCCTGCTAGCCTGATGCAAAGAAAAAGGTCGGGACACATAGGGCTGCACTGCAAAATCAATAGCAGAATAAGAATGGTAACCAGATGTTGCCTTTTCTTTTGGCTTTTCCATTGCTTTAGTGCTTTATGCTTTAGTCTGATTGATTGATTGATTGATTGATTGATTGATTGATTGATTGATTGATTGATTGATTGATTGATTGATTGATTGATTGATTGACTGTCCTTTACCTGAGATGAACTTACCAATGCAAATACAGCATATTTTAAATGTAAAATTTTCATCTTGCTTATCAAACATTACATTACAATTTTGTCTTAAATAAACCTGTATTCATAGAGATAACAAATTCCGTCTCGTGCTAAATGAGCTGCTCGTTATGAACATGTCAGCCAATTCAGAGCTCCTAAAGCTTCACCACCGCAGTCTATAACAGGAGTTAGACCATAAAAGAAAAAGTTCATCAGCCATTCTGGATCTGCTTCACAACTGTCAGTGATGGCTGGGGCATTTGAGGCTCTTGCACCTCAAAGGGGAATAAGATTCCCAACCGCTAATCCTCCGTGAGTGTAGGAATTTGCTAGGGTGAGGAGGGAAAACAAATACCTCTTGCATTTGCATGTACACCCACTCTGAAAGCCGAGCCAATTCTGACACATTCAGAGCACACTTGGCTTACTGTGGGTGTCTACGGGGCATCGCCGCGTGAGCCTCTGCTGTGCACTAACACAAAGCGGCTGATGTAAGGTGAGATACTTTAAAGAGCTTTGGGAGTAAAAAAAAAGAAGGAGCAGAGGCGGGAAAGCCGGGTGGGTGTACGCTGGGGGTGGGTGGGGAGGTGGTGGTGTGGGTTTAATCCCTCATCCACAAATCCGATGACTAAACAATGTCCTCCTGACCATCAGAGTGGAATGGTCTACTCAAAAAACACCCCTCTCATTCAGACTGTAGAGTGTGGGCAAAAACCTCTTTATGTCTATACAAAGGTCACAGACCTGGTCTTTGAATGTGTATGTATGTGAATATCTGTACATATACATACACATATATATATATGCATATTTATATAAATGAAGGTGACCCAATGACCCAAATCAAACTGTAGCACTATTACGACAAAATGAAAATTTAGCCATTTATTACATTATATCCTGATTGATGTTAAAATCAGCTTATTTAACCAGCAACAATTAGAAAAAGACAAAGAGCAGAGGAGGTGAGGGAAGGCTAGAGAGAGGAGGGGATATGAATCATGGCACTGGCTTGCCCTCCAGCTGTGCCACGCACCTGCACATCCAGAAGTGGAAGTCGTGCCAAGAGAAGGAATACGCAGCGGGAGAGCTTAACACACTCCAATCAGCGCAGTCCCATTTCAGCAAGCGCACACACACTAAACTCACCAAACGTATTGTGAACACATATTATGACTCTCAAGTTTACAGTGTCAGAAAAACAAAAAGGTGCAAATCCCCAAGTGCGATTCTTTTCTCTGCATTGTGACCGGAGCAACACAAATAACAGCTTCCATAGAGCGGCGAGGAGCAATGTGACCCCTCTAACCCTTGTTACATAAAAGTAGTAATCCCACAATTAAAGTTTTAATTAAGGGAACTGACACTTTATATTGGTGCTCTAAAAGTTCTTTGAGCCAAAGATCCCAGAGGTGAATGGTTTATTACCGTCTCTTTGTGGCACGCTGATCCCCCGCACAAGGCTGCCATAGGTTTCTCATTACTCTGCGCTTTCAATTCAAATGTTTAATTAACTGCTCTGGAAACTCGAGACGCCGCACGGAGGGAAATAGGCGAAAACCAGCTCTATGCACGGAAAACGTCAACACACTTTGCCTCTGTGTTAAGTGTTGCAGCAACACATGCATGCTACAGGAAGAACCGATGATAATTGGTCTAACCAGGGTGGCCAGCCATCTCCATTTTTCTAGTTAAGACTCCACTCGAGGGTGCATTGTACAGATAATTTCTTACAGCTCCACAGAGAAAGGAATCTTTTTTGATGTGATGTAGTCTTTCAAGCTACGTTTCAATATTCAAATAGCATTCAAAGACCCCAGTAATATATGCATTGCATAAAACAACAGTTGAAAAATTTACTCATACATACTTAAAAAGATGGTTGAAAAACTTCAGTAAGGGACTTTCTTTGACTACTTATTTATCTGTGTAGCCAGCTTACCACACCCCACCACAGGGCATCAGCGTAGCTGGAGAAGCCCGTCTTGCCCTCCTCATCAACAGCATCCTTTTCCGCCAAGTAGACAAAGTAGGAGGAAAAGATCAGGCCCAGAAAGCCGATGTATAAGGTGGTGATCAGCTCCTGAAAAATGCAAGTCAAACAAAGACCAAAGTATGAAAACATTGCATAAAAGGCAAATGAACAACATGAACTGACCATTGGTTCATTCAATAACAAAACTGTACGATTCTATTGCTCTCTGACAAAGCTTTAGTGACGACAACCACAGCTACAAAAGATTTAATCCAACAATTTCCCTTCAAGTCACAGCTTGGCTGCTACAGCAGACCCACTAGCAACCCTCATGTCTTTCAGTGCCGATTGTGCCTCGCTGCAGTTTATTCCTGCAGTTACTGTTGGAGACACAGATGACTGCCAAAGCTAAATTCGGTATTTTTTAAAAAAAATGCTTTTAAAGATCATCCCACAAATTGTATTCTGACAATATACCCAAGTCTTTGAATGTTCTCTGTGTTAGAGAGCCATGCTGTTGACGGACAAATCAGCGTTATTCAAACAACATGAATGTTTGAAATGACCTGTGAGTTTCATCCAGTGAGCTGCTGTTGACTGAAGCCAGCCTTCCTCCTACTGAGACATGTCAGGCCAGTTTATCCCCAAATAAATGTTTTGCTTTTACCATGAAGAGACCAGCTTTTAGTCTCTCTATGCTTCAGTCATTGGGGTATTTTTGCACAAGTTAGGCTTGAATGCTCTCAGGCTTTGCTCAATAAATAAAAACCTGTGTATGAAATATCACACTGTTGAGATCTTCTGCTTTACAAAGAGGACAAACAGAGAGGTGGTTATTATGCTCAACTACAATGGTCTTCATTTGTATGGGCTTGTTGTAATAAACAGCACACACTCCTGTTAACTCTAAGCCTACGACCAGTTATTAGGGTCGCATTTTCACCCGCGAGTCACCTTTGTATTTCATTAGGTGCTAAAGTAGTACCATGAATGATAAACAATGTGTTAAGTATTGATGTTTTAAAGGATCGACCCTTATAATGTGCAATGACATAAATTGTCACTGTGTGAATACAAAAGTAAGACACAGAGCGCTGTTTAAGGGATTCCTCTACATTTATAAAAACTGCGAAAACAAGGTGTAACTTTCTTTTTTTTTTTACTGTTTTATAGGCAAAGTGCAGCAAATATGTAAAGACAAAGCATTTCAGAGGCTTAATTGATTTGCAAATGTATACACTATTAAATGAAGCCAAATTGTTCATGGAAAAACAAATGGCATTCTTAACAAACATCCTAACATGCTTAGTATATTCCATCAGCTTATTGACAATACATTGTATTTCCACTAAGCAGAGCATATCATTTCATAAAGTGGTCATCTGACAACAGGGAGATGGCAACAAATCATATTAGGCTCAAATTGGATTCGTCTTGCGCGTATTTTTGTGACCCTCCACACGCAATCCTCGCTAATAAGTCCTGTTCTTCTCATGTATCAAAGAGATATGAACGGCAGGTTTGACTACAACCAAAGAACATGGTGTACTTCAGGGATTAAGAAGAGAACATTACATCCTCTGACTTCAATGTGTATCGGCCCGAGAAAGAACGAAAACAAGTGTACCAGAAAACAATGAAAAAAAAAAATTGTGGGGGCCAACCTTGTCTACTTCTTTTCTTCTCCTTATAAAGCCACATCTGCTGTAGATTTTTTTTTTTTTTTTTTGTTCGGGCACATTTGATTTGTTGAAATAAGCCGTAAATGTTGTGAGGATAATAGCACCTCGTTTGTCCGTTGTACTGCTTCAGCAACGGTGCATTCACCCTACAGAAGAAACTGCAGCCAACTGAGGGTATATTACACCTTCAGTCTGTCTGACATGTGATAAAAAAAATAATCCTTAAAAGAAATCATATAAACATACAGACAGATTGACAGTCCAGAGCTGAAATTTTATCAAGTTTCAGGTGATACATCACAACCCTTAATCAGCCTGGATACTGTTAATATACCTGTCGATGGATGAAGACCACAGATCCCAGGAGCCTCCACGTTCCTCCCTGTCGATCCACATGCAGCATGCGCAGGATTTGGAGGAAACGGATGCCCCTGTGACACAACAACAACACCCCATTATCTTCTGATCTCACTCCTGCTATGAGTAAATATTAAAATGCAGAAGAAAGTCCTTGCTCTACCTGATGGCTGACGTGGCAAACACTTGGCCATTTGAGCCCACACCGAGCACAATGATGGAGGCAATGACCACTATCAGATCTGTTGGAACAAGAAATAGAAATCAAACAAGGGTTTTAGTTAGTTCAGTTTCAATTAAATGTTGTACCATAATAAAGCTTTGCACGATCTAAGTTGTTGATCTACAAAAACACTTTAGGACATCCGTTGTATTAAATGAGAACAAAGGAAAATTCCAGGTGCACCTATGATTGATATGGGCTTCCTGATAAAGCGGAGGCGTCCTTTGATGCCTGCATATTTGCTTCGACAGCCTGCCGACCACAGCCGGACCACATACTCTGTGCCAAAGAACAGCACCAGCACAATCTCCTGTGGAGCACAATGCAAACACGCAGTGAAAGGTTACATTAAACTATCAGTACAGAGACAGTAATTGCAAAACATATACAGGAACGAGAGGATGTGGAAGTAGATAAGGCATCATTTCTAAGAGAACACAGCGCCATGCACTGACACTAATTTAAAAGCATTAAGGCCATTATGATCAATCAGCAGGATTTACAATATCACATGAGTGGGTAGTGACAGGTGTGTGAGACAGAAAAAAAGGGAGACACTGAGGTGGTCTCGTAGCACCGCGACCACCCAGTCATCCACGAGGAAAGATGGATGTTGATAACATGGCTGATGACAGCTCATATTGAGACAGGGTCAATGACTAAGTGATTGAAGCCACAGGAAAAAACGTCAGAACACTGTTTCCTAACTGGTAACAAGGCAGAATAATTGGGTGTGTTATAAACATATGAATGTTTCTGTCACACTTCATTGATTTTTTTTTTTTTTTCTGTTGTTGCAATTATGTGCACCTGCCTATCCGTTGAGGCGGGTGCTTTTAAATTCCCTCTGTGACATTGTGCATTTGTTTTTCTATTGTGTGCATGCAAGCGTGGCTCCATAAATTCATTAACTCTGTCTGACCGAGATCATTTTCCCGGCCACCGTGTATCTATAATATTTAGCCACCATACTGTCTGGTAATACCTAAGGCCATGTGGGTGGCCATCTCGCTGAGTTCAGTTGCTTGAACTGGCTGCTCCCTGACCGCCCCTTGTATGAAACTTAATACCATGAGCCCTGCTGCAATAACACAGGCCTCAAAACAATGACCTGTCAATCACACGCAGACACTATTCTGGCTGAGGGAAGAAAAAAAAAAAAAAAGTGTCACTCTAGTATAAGCGAAAAGAGATTTTTTTTTGTTCTTGCTCTAAATTTTCTGTTTGCCCATTATCATTAATTAACTATGTTTACAGCTTTAGATTTTGCGCTTCAGTCGCCCGGCCTGGGATTCCTACACCCCTCATTCATCAGTGTGAATTGCTCATTTTCTGTCACCGAGTTAAAGACAAAAGAGCGAGGAAGATAAAGAGGCAGAATTGACAGAGACGGCCAGAAATGGTTGAGCAAATCTCTATAACATAGCCTGATAATCAGACTGAATTACCATTTGGTTTCACTGCATTCACTCGGTGAAGCCAAACAAATCGGAGACGTGGGCTGGCATTCAGATGTCTGGCACCACGCTGCCTACAGTACGACATCCATCACAGTTGAACTTGACCAACTGGCTGCAGCCTTATTGTTTGTGGAGGACAGTTGAGGTTATATCTGCACAAGTGCTGCTTTGTAATCTGTTTGTGAACTTTTTAGAGTTGCATCTCACACCTTAGGGCTTAATAGGGTTCTTGTGAATTTACTGTACGTTTTCCAGCAAACTGAACTAACAAATGGCTTTCACTGACATTGCCACAGAGTCCGATCAAAACATGGGCACCAATCACAGAATACTAATTTATTGAGCTTAGTTATTATGACAGCTGGGTAAAATCTGAAAGTCAAAGGGCTGCATGAATTTGGGGAATTTGAAAAGATTAGTCGGAGTAATTCCGTAAAATGGGTCACCCAGATGTTGGGGTGTTTTTGTATGCGTATACGAAACTGGCAACTACATGTTTACTGAAAACAGCTGCCCGTTTGTGCAGCGATAATCTCGTCAAGCGCATTCATAGAGCTGTATTACGGTATCAGATGAAAATGTGATTAGATTGCTTTATCTTTGTGCTCCACTACAAAGGAGGGCGCGCGTTACAGTCATTATGCCTAAATTTAGACGAACTTTATGAAGCTTTTGCAACTCACGGATGTTAGACAACCCAAAGTGATAGCTTTGTTCATGATTTTGTGTTCCCGATAAGGTCAATCCAATTAAAATTTCACATGCTTCGCGTCACTCAAAGTTAATCTTGTATTTTCCATAAACCCACTTTCTCATTTCTACCAATGCGCCCATCAGATTTCAATTTCCAATTGTCTGAAGATGTTTCAGAAAAGATCGAGGTGTCTCCAAAAGCATTATGATTCATCCCTGTCTGACCATGCAGGTAAAGAAAGGTCACTGTTATCACTAGATGTAATCTGAAAAACTACAGAAATCAAGTTTTGTAGCAATTCAGTCAGTAGCTGTCAGGTTATCCGAAGTGTTTGGTGGATGCACTTGAAGAAAAAATACATTTTTCTACAGTTGTTAAATGTAACTTTTTAAATACAGTTTGTTATTGTTTTATAGATGTTCCTTGTTTTATTGAATTACTGGTAAAATCATAGAGTAAAACATTCATTTATATGTTGACTGTTAAAAAAAATAAATAAAAATCCATTCTTTTACAATATGTGACTGTAAAATGTAACTGTTTTACTGTATTTAAATGAGGTAAAATCTACCTGATATTTGCTTTAATATTAACATTTTTCACACTGTCATCAAATAACCGAGATGGCCAGTGAAGTGAAGTAAAAGGTAACGCACAGAGTGAACTGATGGAATACAGCTGCACAACCCTACATGTTGAAATATTGTTAGCAATATACAAGACCTGAGAAGATCCATGTGACATGTCTGTGACTGTGTGTGTGACTGTGTGTGTGTGTGTGTGTGTGTGTGTGTGTGTGCGTGCGTGCTTCTGTGCCTCCTGCCCAGCCTGGCTGGCTTTACTTTGGCAGCTGCCCTGAAGGCCAAATATCCTCAAGGACTAATGTCCCCTCTGCCATCCAAAACAAGCAGCTTGTGATTCACGGATGTTAGCTGACCCTGAACTTTCTAAGTATAGCTACTACCACCAGTACACGCCACTGTGACACCACTTGCAGAGCTCCACCTCCCCTCAAACACACTCACACAAACTGGGATGTGCGCACCAGCACGCACGCAAAAGATAAGGCATTATCTTATTTCACTATTAACACAGAAACATTATTTATACACATATGCATGCACAAACACACAGCCAGGTGTACAAATAAACTGGGTTCAACAATGACGAAAAGACAAATAGTCCTTTCTGTGGACATTTATTTTCTCTATGTCCTTCTGGGGCTGACTACTGGTGTTTTTTGTAATCAAGCAACAGAGAAAAAACGGTGCGAGGTGGATAAAGAAAAGGAAAGACTGAGTTAGAGATAATGTTTAAAAGAATTTGGCTCTTTCTTAGTATAACTAAATAAATAACTGTGATATATTAGCAGGTCTTCTAAGGGCACCGGGCAAAAGTTTAGGGAACACAGTGTCCAGTCTGTCCTCAGACTGCCATGGGACTCAGGAGGTGGTACGTGAGAGAGTTTTTGTCAGTGTGTGTTTGTGCAGCCTTTTGTGTAAGTATTTGTGTCAATGGTGTGCAGTAGCTGCGTGTGTATTTATATTCACAGTGTCCTGGCAGGAGACAGATGATGCAAGCTCTTTGTAGAGTTTCCAAACAGCAGCCATAATTTTCTCTACCAGTTGTAAGCCCTCGATTTATTGCATCACTTAGCAGCCTTAACAGCCTAATAAGCTCTGAAAAAGTCAATCTTCCAGCAAGCATCAACAGGTACAGTCTGTGCGGAGCCAAATGATTCAACAAGTGTCATCAAGATAGCCTGAAAAAGGGACACGTGGTTGAATGCAACGCAGGCTGATAAGTGTGCGTAATGGTATGTGCAATAAGTGAAAGTGATTAGTCTTTTTTTGAGATTTGTAATATCTTTACACTGAGCTGTAAGATGGCGGTTAGAATCCCTCCCAGCCAAGATCTTATATTACCATCATGTGGACAACAGAGGGTACTGCAGAGCGGCTATACGTGTTTCACACCACTCATCGTTTGCTCTGTCTCTCAAAGAAAATCGATGTAATAAAAAAAACACTTTTGATATTTGTCAAGGAACCACCTCTAAACCCATGATCTCAGTGTAACAGGGATTATGGCTGAGCTGTCACATCTGCTCAATCAGTTATTGAAGTTCAATGAAAGTGACTTTCATTTTTGTGACTAAATATTTCATATTTAAAGTATTCTACATGTTTGGGTTTGTATTGTTGTGACATGCAACTATGTATGGTTCAGAAACTATTCCCAGTGAACTTCTGAATTATCTACTTTTTTTTTGTTAATGTGCGCTCAAAGGTGGCACTTTTCATAATGGCTTCATTGTTTAAAATATATATATATATATATATATATATATATATATATATATATTTCAACTTAACAATAGTCAGAAACTTTGTTTTACTTGTCCAATATTGCAGATTCAGAATCAATGACATGATGATCAATAACAGTAACATTTTAAGCTTTAATCTTTAATAGCTCCTGAGATTTTGTCGTTCAAACACAGCCTGAAAATTCAGTGCATAAAAAGATGTCCTGAAAGTAGATCAATGGGTATTTTTGTTCTTACACAATTGCATCTCAGAACATTGTTGATGTATAAGGGCTAAAATTTCACAAATATCTTTAACAAAAAAATCACACATGGTCGAGCACAAATTTTTCTAAAAATCTGATGACTTGAGATGGAATGAGCCCTTCATGAAACCAGTGATTCTTTTTATCATCTACTTGATCACTTCATTATTAGGTCAGTTTAGAAAGATGGAAGAATCCCAGAGCACAGCCTCATACACAGGACTTCGCATTACTATACTTCGCATTTGTTTTTTTGCAACCAATAAATTGAGAGAAGTTTTTTTTTTATTAGAAAAAAACAATTTCTATTGATGCACAAGTATTGATCACCTCACATAATTTTGACATAACTCCACCAAACGTCGGCCTGAAGAGATGTGTATTTAACCAGGATAGACGCAAACACGTGTATGTGCAGGGCTTTTCAGTTGGAACTGATTGATCTGTAAATATGATTTAGTACTATGTTCATTTTGAATTTACTACCTCATCTTTGTGTGTATAGTCTTCTTTAAAAAACAAACAAACAAAAAACATCTTCTGTATATAATGTTTTGGGGTTTTTTTTCTCTTGCAATTTTTGCACTGTGTGTTTTCTGTTTTTCTGTTTTCTGTTTCTGTTTTTGTTTATTTCCTAAAATTTGCACTGGGTGTTCCCAATTATTCTTGCACTGACTGTACACATTTTTTGGAGCTGTTGTACCAGTGAACTTTCCCCACTGTGGGATCAATAAAATTATCTTTATCTTTATCTTTAATTTATGCAACCGTGTACTGTGCCTACAATACATGAGCGATATATATAAATATGAACTACGATTTGAACTAGCGTTTCAGGGCTGCAAGGTGGCGCAGTTGGTAGCCTTGCAGCAAGAAGGTTGCTGGTTCGCGTCTCGGTGGGGGTACTGGGATCTTTCTGTGTGGAGTTTGCATGTTCTCCCCGCAGTGTGGGTTCTCTCCGGGTTCTCTGGCTTCCGCCCACAAGTTCAAAAAAACATGTTGAGGTTAATTGGTGATTCTAAATTGTCCGAAGGTGTGAATGTGAGTGTGCTTGGTTGTCTGTCTCTAAGTGTAGCCCTGCGATAGACTGGTGACCTGTCCAGGGTGTCCCCTGCCTTCACCCTAAGTCAGCTGGGATAGACTCCAGCCCCCCGCAACCCTAGTGCGGATTATGCAGTGTATAGATAATGGATGGATGAATGTTTAGTAATGGATGGATGGATGGATGGATGGATGGATGGATGGATGGATGGATGGATGGATGGATGGATGGATGGATGGATGGATGGACTAGAGTTTCAGGTGTACCAATCGAGTAAAACTACTCACCATCCAGAAGAGGGTTCCAGTGGCAAATTCTGCATATTGTTCTATAGTGGACAGGACACTGAAGATTAGACACACCAGGACCATGAGGAAGCTGCAGAGAGAAGCACAGTGCATCCAGTCAATCATCACCACTCATCATAAATCACTTACTGTTCCTGCAGTAAAAATGAACAAAAAAAACAAATAAGCTGATACTAATTAATCACTTTGTTGCATTTGCTTGCACAGCACTGAAACACAAAACTTACTAAACAATTACAAAGCAGAAATGACAGAAAAACTGAGCTCACAATAATCTATTAGTTAACTATTTGTTAATTAAATAAAGTAAAAATATTGAGTATTTTTGTCCTGCAATATTGTTGCATATTCAGAATTTAGTTGCTGAATGGGCATGTGTGCTCATTCTCTCATTGAGTTTAGTTGATGAATGGAAGCGTTTATGAAAGATCTGAAACTCTCTTTTTGTGAGATACATTTTTCTGCTTTACCAATGATTTACTCGCCTTGATATAAAGGGATGTATACTAAAATGCAATGATAATATTTGCCACAAAACAAAACAAAAACAAACTAAGCCCTTTGGTAGCCAGCAGTTCAACAAAGTTTAGGGTACTTTGTCTCTGTTTTTCTTTTCGTCATCAATCTGCTTGTATTAACAGCTGACAGGATGTTTCCACGTCTCCTAGCAACATTCCGACAAGACTGTCCATCTGTCGGTGCACATACATCGTCTACAAACATTGCCTCGAGAGCAGAACATCCACGAGCAGCACACCTAAACGAGGGTAGAGGGAGAAGAAAAGGCATGAGAGAGACGGATGGTGGAAAGATGGGATTAAAGTGACGGTGGAAAGCAAATGGGTGAGGAGAGGTAGAGCTGCCTCTAGCTATTTTTATTTTGATTATCAGTTCACCCCACATTGTTTTCTTTATCAGAAAAACTGAACAATGCTCTGCCCCGAATCTTTCCAGAGCCCAAGCTGACATAATTGTTCTAAAATTTTGCTTGTTTTGTCCAAAGACATTCAGTTTACATGGATAGTCATGGATAAGAAAGAAAAAGAACTTTTTTTTTTCACAACGGAGAAGCAAAAACAGAGAAAGTTTGGTCTTTTTTCTTTGGAAATTGACTCACATTTTTAAGTGATATTAAAAATATTTGCAACTAATTTATTTTGTTTCATCTCTTCAGACAAAAGAAAAAAACACAGCAAAGGAGAAATGGAAAAGGAGGAAATAAACTGAAATAGAAAGAACACCAATATCCTGCTGATTATGGGCCTGATTAATCTAAATACATCGGATGTTTTTTAAAATACAATTACTATGAAAATAATAATGATCCTGAAAAAAACACCACTAATAACCTGCCATATATTAGATTATTATTTCATGCATTTCATGTGGATGATTCAGCACACTAAAAATATTCAAAATGAATCGAAACTTTAAAAATGTCACTTGAGAGACTTCCATTGTCTGCACTGTTCATCTACCTATGCATTCATTTATTAATTCAACATTCTAAATGGAGCTCATAACACGCTTTGCCTGGTCTTTGCTGACCCGACAGGATTAAGAGCAGTTGTGTGCATTTTCACCATGCCAGAAATAATCCTTGAAACACATCTTTTAAGTGCTTTTCCATGACATACTACGAGTGTTTGCATGCACCATCATCACGATCAAACACACCACAGTGGGTGCATTATGATACTGTGTACTACAAGCGGGATTACACGCCATATGTTGGAAAGGTTACGTAAGTCTCTGTTGTTTATTATTATTCATGTAGTAGAATATAAAAACTATACATACTGCAGCCAAAAAGAAAGACTGCTCAATTCACTGAGGCCCTGCAGATCTTATTCAGTATTTTATTTTATTTTTTTACTAAAAGAGTTGCGTATCACTGAATCACACAACCATGTGAGCCATACCGCTATACATACATACATATATATATATATTGGACATACACATGATCCGTTGAATTTAAAGAAAGTCAAGTGAAGGTCTTGCTCATCTTTAGTACATCAGGTAGTCGAATGGGCTTAACGCAAAGTTGGGTGATGCATGGGAAGACTCTTAAAGAAGGATTCCCCTTAAACGTACAACACATTGGCCAGATGGGACAGTGATTTTACTCTGTGAGGATTGCTGCTCACCAACACACACACACACATGCACAAACATACACATCTCTTAGATCCCTTTTAGTTCTGTTTAAAACAGCAAAAACTGTAAAACTATTGAAGTACAACATTCAAAATGTACTTCTGGACCTATAAGGAAGTCAGTCCAGGCTGACCAAGGCACTGAGGCCGTGACTTAGGTTTGGTTTTCTGTTTGCTCCACATTGTTGGACAGATGCCTTATGTTGGCGTGACTGTCTGCACCAGCCAGTCACATTTTGGGATGCTGGGAAGGCACCTGGAGGGGCCAATGAGATTTCACAATATAATTTGGTATAGAGTCCTCGACATATGGGACTGAAGGATTTGAGATGTGTATGAGGGCTAAAAACTAGGCATTGAGCCAATCCTTGCCTGTGTAGAGTGCATGTTTCCACTAAAAGCAAAAGATTCTGTACTCATGTAAAGTACAATAGGAAGAGGGTGGGTCACGCAGATGACGTTTAAGTCTATTTTACTAAAACAGTCATAAGCACATAGCTGTAAAGGCAGTTTTATTGCTTTAAAGTTTAGATTTCAAGAAATAACTAGTGTGCTTTAAAGCATCACAGGCCACGATTAACAAAAAAAGACATCATGCTATTTTAGCATCATGAAACTCCAGTGCTGTTTTGGGGATTTTACTTAATTGACTTGCGTTTTTAAAAAATAAAATAAACAGCAATAAACAACCCTTCAGCAAAGCAGGGAAACTGGGCAGCCACGCTTGCATCATCTTATAGACTAGTAGCGGTTTCATTCGCTCTGTAAAGAGTACAGCGTGTACAGAGCCAACCTCTGTAATCTGACAGCTCTCTCTACTTATTACTCTGCTGATCCGCATACCAGCGTTTTCTGCTGCAATTGCCGCAGCAACCTCCCCTCCTCTCTCTTATTTGTTTATTTTGTGTTGTTTACATGGCAAAAAATCTTATGGTGATGCCTACCATCTCTGAATTTTGCGGATTAAGGGAGCTTGTTCATCAAACTTTCTTTATGAAATCCCCAGATCTGCCAGAGATTCTTCATCAAAAGACTACACATGTAGACTATGCCCACGAAAAGGGAATCTCTTTTGAAAACTACTGTGGTGTGTATTACATTGCATCATTAATCTGATGTTTGCAGCGACTGGCCAGCGGAAATAACAATTTGTGTTGCGTTGTTGCCAGGCCTCCAGGTTGCGGCATTAACAGAGTTTCGGGAAGGGAAAGACCATACAGATTGACAGGTTAAGATGAGGGCAGGTCAAGTCAACTGAAAACCCATCTCCCTTGTGATGAATCTTATTAAGATAAGCTTAAATATGATGTCATATAGATATCACATCATGTAGGTCATTGATAAGATCATGTAATTTGTGTGTTTTCCTGCAGCACAAAAGATTGTGGCATTTGTTCTGTTTTGGAAGGATAACAATGCAATGACACTGGGAGTCCACATATTGTGCCAGCAGTCAGACGCATCCTGCACTCGGCTGCAGTCAGTTCTGCATTGAAAGTTCCTCTTCAGTCCTTGACTAAACCTCTAAAAACTCATCTCTGTGTATTAAGGTTCCATCCATCCATTATCTATACACCGCTTAATCCTCACTAGGGTCGCGGGGGGGCTGGAGTCTGTCCCAGCCGACTTAGGGCGAAGGCAGGGGACACCTGGACAGGTCACCAGTCTATCACAGGGCCACACACTTAGAGACAGACAACCAAGCACACTCACATTCACACCTACGGACAATTTAGAATCACCAAATAACCTGAACATGTTTTGGACTGTGTGGGAGGAAGCCAGAGAACCTGGAGAGAACCCACGCTGCATGGGGAGAACATGCAAACTCCATGCAGAAAGATCCCAGTGCCCCCACTGGGATGCGATCCAGCAACCTTTTTGCTGCGAGGCAACTGCGCCACCCTGCAGCCGTATTAAGGTTACATGTTGTTTTTTTTTCATGAAAAAAATCGCTTCCTGTGCTTAAATGGCTTAAATGTAGCTCTCCACTGTTGCTTCCTCTGGATCTATGAAGTCCCCGTGTCACTCCGCGCTCACTGCAGCTGGAGCACATCAGCTCACCTATGACTCCACAAATACTGTAAAGTTACTACTACTAGTAGTAGCACTACATAATGGCGAGTTGTAATATTGGAGAAATTCAGCCACACATGTTCAATCTGGAAGCTGATTCTCAAAAATGATGACACAGGAAGTCCCATTCTGCAAGTTTACAGGATTGACTCCTTAGATTTTTTTACATATGAAAATAGGGAAGTATATGTATAAGCATATGAAGCACTATATAGACATGCTGACAAGGTAAATAACTTGACTTTCACCTGGGGTAGTCTTTAATGCATTGCATGTAAAGAAAATATTGACATTCCCAAAGACCAACTCAGTATCACTGGATTAAAATTCATTTCTACTGTTGTGTTTAGAAAATGGTTAACTGTAGCCAGTCATGCACAAAAAGTGTTTAGCTGGTGACAAATTCTCAGCCAATAAGTTAATCCACAGTCTCCACAAATGTGGTTATAAAGCACAATGATCAGATAGTGTGACCACTACATAGACACTTCTGTTTCTCAACAATTCTCTCGACACAGAAAAAGTTATCAAGATCAAACAACACTATGTAAAACACACACCGCTAATGAAAGCCACAACCGAGCCTATTAGTGTTACATTTTAAGTTGATGTACTTAAACTGTTTATAGATACTGAATATGAAGCGTTCATTTGCAAAAACAGATAACTCCATCTTCACAAACATTCAGAAAACTCACTTTTCCATCGTCTGCCTGAGACAATATCCATCAAACTTAAGTTATCTCTGTTTGTGTCATGTCATTCTACTAAGTCAGATCCACTCAACTTCAGTTTGATTGATATTGTCTCAAGCAAACAACAAAAAAATAAGTTT